GGATTCTTCGATGAATTCCCGCATTCATTTCTGCCATCGACTACAATCGATGCAGTCAGGATGTTGGCAAAACAACAAGAAATGGCTATTATACAAAATGATTGGATGACCTTTGCTTTTCTCAACCAATCAATATCCCTGTTATGAACATTTCCCCTGACCTGATTTAAACGATGAAATGCACGTGCGGTGTACTGACATCATTTACCTGAGTAGAAATAAGCGTTTGCGATGAGATAATTGGGGGGCTCTGAATGTGAAACTTTGATAAATTTGTGAAATGAAAAATGCTTTTGAAATTCGCCTCGGAGCCCCACTCAAAAAAGAGACGGTGTATCAACCCATACACCTTGAAAACAAGGTATATAACTATTACATATTCTAGAAAGGTAATGGGAATGCAACGTGTATGTGTGATTGAAGAAATGAAATGAAATGAGGTTTAACGTCCTACTGTTCTGCTCCTAAACTGGGTTAATGAAGACGGGCATACGCCATACAGTGTGCTATGTGGAAAATTTTGCCCGGGCAGCGGAGCTACGGCCTACTCTTATATCGAATTCCAACTCCCAAGGGATCTTTTACGGACCAAAATTGTGACCACTAGAGGGTCCACAACCTTGATTTACCAGATGTTTACACTATATGCGTTCGAGGGGCGGCCATTTTGTCCAGAAGTTTTGGCCCAATTTTCAACAAACATTACAGTGTAACGGTCATATATTCGACGGCTTTTTTAAATCGAATAATAATTGTGACCTCTAGAGGGACCACAAGCTAAAAACGCGATTTTTCGTACAACCAGAGGCCATAATTCAGGAAGTTACAATTCGATATGCGCGAATATTTACAGGAACCGACATCGTTGGGTTATAAACACGCATTTCAAGTTTCATCAAAATCGGATTAAAAGTATGACCTCCAGAGGATCCACAACCCTGATACGTAATATTTTGACACTATCTGCGAACGAGGGGCGGCCATTTTGTCCGTCAGTTTCGGTCCGACTTTTACGAAATTCGAACTCAACCATCCTTAGGGTGTAACGGTGATATATCCATACGATTTTGTAAATCGGATAAAAATTGTGACCTCTATGGGGTCCACAAGCTAAAAACGCAATTTTTCGTACAATCAGGGGCCATAATTCAGGAAGTTATGGTCCGATATGCGCGAATATCACAAGGAACCGAGATATGTGGGTTATAAACATGCATTTCAAGTTTCATCAAAATCAGATGAAAATTGTGACCTCCAGAGGGTCCACAACCCTGATACGTAATATTTTGACACTATTTCCGAACGAGAGGCGGCCATTTTGTCCGTCAGTTTCGGTCCGATTTTTACGAAATTCGAACTCAACCATTCTTGGGGTGTAACGGTGATATATTCACACGTTTTTTTCAATCGGATAAAAATTGTGACCTTTATGGTGTCCACAAGCTAAAAACGCGATTTTTCGTACAATAAGGGACCATAATTCAAGAAGTTATGGTCCGATATGCGCGAATATCAAAAGGAACCGTGATATGTGGGTTATAAACATACATATCAAGTTTAAACCAAATCGGATAAAAATTGTGACCTCTACAGTGTTCACAAGCTAAAAACGTGATTTTTCGTACAACCAGGGGCCATAATCCATGAAGTTACAGTCCGATACATACGAATATCGAAAGGAACCGAGATTTTAGGGTGATAAACCTATATTTCAAGTTTCATTGAAATCGGATAAAAATTGTGACCTGTAGACTGTTCACAAACAATTACGGACGGACGGACAGGGGCGACGACAATATACGACCACATGAAAATGTGGGCGTATAAAAATTTCAGAACATAATTAATATCTTATTCGAAAAAAATCGGTTTTGTTTTTTTTATTTGTAATGTAATTTATTTTCAATGTTGAGGGGCTCTTTGAATAGTGTACTTGTGATTTCACGCCAGTCTGGGTGAAGGGAAATAACTCTGAAACACCGATAGATTGTTCAATGAGAACTGACATAATCAATACGTGGAGATATTTATAAACATTTACAAACAGTTATAAAGGTTTGAATTAATGCCCTAATCAGGGGCGGATTAAGATTAAGGGATCGGCACGTTCTGAAAGGCCCTAGTCACCAGGGTTCGAGGGTCCTCTCAAAGAAAATTTGAAAATTATATCGCCTAAGTACTTTCCTGTCGATTTAGTTACATGCTGAACCGATAATTTCGTTCCCCATATCTAGCGAAAAACAAATGAAATTGGGTTTAACATTCTGCTCTTTTCTAACAACTGGATTAATGAAGACGGACAATGTGCTATGACGGGCCATTTTGCCCGAACAGCGTCGCTTCAGCCTACTCGTCTTCGAGATCCCGATGATTGGCTTTGAAGTTCTTAGGGATTTTCCAGTGAGGTTTCCAGTTATCAGTGACAGTGGTGCAGGACGGGGGGCCTGGCAAGCGTATATTTGTTTGGGTGGGACGTAAAACCGATGTGTACAGGTGGAAGTAGGTGTAGCGCAAAATTTCCCGTATCACACTTCATTAACAATGTTGGTGAAGAAAAGTAGGACATTAACCCCCATGTTATGGGCATCTTCATAGTACTATAAGCATCTGACATTTCTGTTTGGCAAAGCAGGGATGAAACTCGAATTTTAAAAAGAATATGGGAAGCTGGTTCAAACCATAAATGTAAGTGTCACAGTTTTCCTGAACTTTTTGCTGATGCCGATTTATAAACATTGTTTGCGCCAAAAAGGTAGTGTCAATAACGATAGAGGATTCTAATTTACTAGTGGTTCAGCAGTGGTTAATCACCCACTCCACGGAAACAGAATTGACTAAGTGAAAAGCCGAATTTTGGAGAAATTTGTTTGAAATAATTACTTAAAGCAAATGTTAAATTTTAATAATCATTTTTGAAAATATTTCCTGTAGCCGAGGGGACGATAAAATCTGATAGTGGAACGCATAGAAAAGAAATGAAATTATGTTTAACGTTCTATTGTTCTGCATCGACTGGGCTAATGAAGACGGACATATGTCATACAGTGTGCTATGAGGGCAATTTTGCACGGATAGTGGAACTACGACGTCTCTTATATGAAATTCCAACTGTCAAGGGTTCTTTGAGTTGCACGCCAATATGTACACGGGTCCTACAGCCTACTCTTATATTTTATTCCAACTGATATCCGAGTAAGCCGTATCTCACATATGTCACAAGTATAGTTCTTCCTTAGCGGGAAAGCGGCATCGTTAGGATTCCAAGTAGTTTCCGTGAACTTAATTAAAATAATTCTGTTCAAGTGCTTTGCTGATCAGTCTTGCAACACTGACCAAGGGTAGCCACGCCGGTACAAAATACCGATGATATTTTTCAGCCAACAACGGGACATCCAGGTTAGGTGCCGATGCCATACTAACCGAGCCACCGCGGCTCCCCAGTGGACCGCAAATGATGCGCAATTCGTACTGGAGCGGAGAAATTAAAGGAAATGAAATAGGGTTTAACGCCCTACTTTTCTGTTCCGACTGGGTTAATGAAGACTGGCATATGCCATACAGTGTGCTATTTGGCAAATATTGCCCAAACAGCGGCGCTACGGCCTACTCTTATATCAACGTCCAACTGCCATGGGATCTTTTAAATAAATAAAACCCGTCCCTTTTCTTGGACTTGAGACCTTTTTATTTTACTTGGGACCCCTGCACTGGACTTGAGTGTCCTGCTTGATGGGGTTCATATCACATTTTCTTCCCGGATTCGGTGTTTTCTTTCAGTTTTATTGTTTGAGATTTTCATCCGCTTCTGGCCTCTATAAACATTTTCACCTAGAGTTTGATCGCGGTTATAATGGTCCGATTTCGATTCTATTGTTCGCTATATATACAGTCTAGGTTATTACTCCAGGGTGCCCTGAGGTTTAGTTAAAGGACAATATTGGTTGTCAGTCATTATCACATATGTGATAGAACTAATTAAACACGTTCCACATATAATTTTAACGTAGATATCATTGCTACGATAGCTGAGTAATACAGGTTTCCTGAATCGGAAGTGACGAACGTCAAAGGAAAACACGAGTCATCCCTCTATATAACTGACTGAAGTGACGAGTGATAACAGATACATGGGCGAATTTCTGCTCACTAATAATTCCTTCCAAGACTAAAAGTTGTTGTGGAGCTACCCCTGCTACGCCACTACTTAGGGGCACTTTCTTTGTCCCCAAAGTTTTTCTACGATATCACCTTAGGTGGAAGTGGACGTCAAACTCCAGAAACGAACGAACGTCTCCAAAGTACTGCAAAAAGTGGCCGACAAAGATATATGATGACATGTATAGCCATGGACATTGTACACTTATACATATACCAAATTGTAATAATTTCGTAACCACTCTTGATTTTCGAAAAAAATCATAGGAGCTACAAGTCGATCGAGCGCTTAATGATAAAGGCTATATTCAAACGATCCTGGACCTAATTTGTTTCATAAAATACAAACAGAACGCTTAAATATTTAGTTATTTACAAACCAACAAAAATGTGACGTATGTCGTGTTCTTTCGAGTAACTTATGTTCTGATTTCACAGTTCGTTGTGTATCAGCTTCAGATAATTAATTAATTGAATGGCCACGGATGCAGTGTTGCACTGGTTAAAATTCCCCAAGTTTTCAGTGAATTACAGCTGTTAGGATTTCTTTTGCCAGCACACCAATATTTCCTTGTCGGCGAGCCATCAGAAATACCAGACAAAAATTTTATGGATATCGGAGGCACCTAGAAATTCGAAGCCATTGATCACTCCCTGTCTTCATCTGCTACTTGAAATGGAAATAATTTGTATTTCGCGTTGTGCATCCTTGAAATCATTTAATATTAGATAATGAATGAAATATAAACAGGTGGCAATATATGTAGTTTCCAATTAACCCAATTGAAGTGAAGGACACACATAAATAAAAAGAAAACTCATTTAATAATCAAACTACGAGCACCCACAAACAACATAATTTATTTTCACATCTGGTGAATTACACTAACGACGAACAATAACACATCGTTTCATGGAGAGAGAACAAAATAATATTATATGTAAATGAAAACAATAACATTCGTATTAACTTAGATATGAATCAGTTCACTTATACATATTTTGTTGTTTTTGTTTTCATTCGCGCAAACAGATATAAATGTACGTATATATTACAACGGTAATTGGTCACAAATTTAGAAAAGGTTGTCACATTGAACATTCGACTCGGATAATTTAACTACTTAGTTATTTATCGACCACATCACACATATTGCAATAATTAATCCATAAAGACAAAAATGGGGATGGGGTTTAACATCCCCTTAAGATATTTATCGAGAGGAAAATGAGGTTTAACGTCCCCTTAACATACACTGGATCATATCGGGACTAACATACGGTACACGTTTGTTTCAGTAATTCGCTTCTCATCGTCTCTGACGGATTCTTTAGAGTTCTGACCCCAATAATCACCCTTAAAATTTTAGCATGCTATACTGCAAGTATCACAAGATGCAGAACTAAATCGCCACCGCATTTGTATGGCCTCATACGCTTGTTATTTGGGAGTCGTACGTTTCGGAGCTATGGTACGATAAGTATTGTTTAATGGTCGAGAGCGAGACATTAAGTAATATATTGTAACAACATGAGGGCCGTAGGCCCGAATGTTTTTCCAATATATTACGCAATGTCGTAAGCTCGAGACCATTAAACATCTTAAAATACTGTACTATTGGCAAGTTTCCCGTACGATTATTTGAAATAATGGTACGCCAACATCAAAGGGTGACGTCACATCTGTATTTTAAGTATTGTTTAATGGTCGAGAGCGAGACATTAAGTAATATATTGTAACAACATGAGGGCCGTAGGCCCGAATGTTTTTACAATATATTACGCAATGTCGTAAGCTCGAGACCATTAAACATCTTAAAATACTGACACTCCGCACGAGCTTTTACGTCACACTAGTCCAATATCTCACTGGTATGAATAAAGTACTATTGGCAAGTTGCCCGTACGATTAATTGAAATAATGGTACGCCAACATCAAAGGGTGACGTCACATCTGTATTTTAATTACACATACTTGGTAGTAGTTCGACGACGCGAATTAACGTGTGTGTGGTCTGTATCCGGAGTAACTGATATCTGGCGACAGCATAACATTTTCGCGAACGCTCTACGGAAGTCCGTATTCTTGACTGCGTAGATAAAGAAATTCATCCCAGAGTTAAGCACCGCCAACAAAATAGTCACATCCACAACACGATTAGGTATACCGATAGTACGGCCGAGATTCTGGGCCACAATTCCCGGGGATAAGCATATGAAAAATATTCCAAATACCGTCAAAAACATCTTCACTGCTTTCATGTTCGTTGCCTGCCTTGTGTCATCTACTGAGGCCAACTGTTGGTTGATTGCTTCTTGTTGCTTTTTAGCGATGTAGAAAATGTAGCCGTAACACACGGCGTTTATGATAGAAAAAAACACAAATATAGTAGTCTGTATATAGGTATGGTAATAATAAGGGATGACTGAGGTATAATGACAACTACGTCTAAGATGCCAATTATTGACGTATATTGGTAGAGTTCCAAGAAATACTGCCGATATCCACGTCCAAATTATAATCACCCTTGCTCGGAACATGGAGGCAATACGTTGGTACTTCATAGGAAAGCCGATATAAAGAACTCTATCAATTGCAATCACAGTTATGCACTGAATTGTCTGGCCCAAAGATACAAAGAAAGCCACATGTCGACATAGATATTTATCATTGTCAAAAAATTTCCGAATTCCGGGTAAATGCATAGCTGCGTGGTATGGCAGTATAAGACCAGCTAAGAAGTCGGCACGGGCTAAAGAAACAATATACTGGTTGGGAATTGTCTGAAGTGTCTTGGTTCTCCACACTGCAAGAATGGTTAGCAGATTCCCACAACATATCACCACCATTATCAACATCTCGGATAAAACCATGAATATTGAATGCATTGACATGGTGGATACGCTGGAGCTACAATTTGAACACGAAGCATTCATTGTCACTGGTTAGACTTTGACTAGTTTAGTTTCCTTCTATCAGTAACTTTTAACGGTATCCTAAAATTACCTCTTGTTAACGTCCGTTCATCCTAATTATGTACTGATTATGAGACACGGATTTCCCTTTACATCTCTTCATTTAAAGAAGACAATTAATTGATAAAATGTAATCAATTATATGAGTCTATGTTGTATCGTACTAAAACGTTTAAAAATTACACACAAAGACATCAGCGAAGTAAAAAAAAAAGCAGTCACTCTTAAGAAATGTTACTGACTCGTGGTTACAGAGCCAACTTCTACAGCACAGATAATAGTAAGTGCACCAAACATAAACAAACCCCCATAAAACAAACCCGCCCCTTTTCTTGGACTTGGGGGCCCTTTTATTGTATTTTCTTCCCGGATTCGGTGTTTTCCTTCAGTTTTTATACGCCCACATTTTCATGTGGACGTATCGTCGTCGCCCCAGTCCGTCCTGACGTCCACAATTGTTTGTGGACACTCTACAGGCCACAATTCTTATCCGATTTTGACGAAACTTGAAATATAGGTTTATCTCCAAACAATCTCGGAAGCTTTCGATATTGGCATGTATCGGACCGAAACTCCCTAAATTATGACCCCTGATTGTACGCAAAATCACGTTTTTAGCTTGTGGACCCTATAGAGGCCATAATTTTTACACGATTTAAAAAACCGTTTTAGTATATCACCGTTACACCCATAAGGATGGTTGATTTCGAATTTCGTGAAAATCGACCCAAAACTGACAGACAAAATGGCTGTCCCTCGTTCTCAAATAGCGTAAAAATATGGTATATCAAGGTTGTGGAATCCCTAGAGGTCACATTTTCTTCTGATTTTGATGAAACTTGGAATGTAAGTTTATAACCCAACGATCTCGGTTCCTTTCAATATTCGCGCATATCGGACGATAATTTCCTGAATTATGGCCCCTGATTGTACAGAAAATCACGTTTTTAGCTTGTGGACCCTATAAACGGTCATAATTTTTATTCAATTTAAAAAAAAACGTTTGAATATATCACCGTAACACCTATGGATGGTTGAGTTCGAATATCGTAAAAATCGGACCAAAACGGACATACAAAATGGCCACCCCTCGTACTCAAATAGCGTAAAAGAAATATGGTATATCAATGTTGTAGGCCCTCTAGAGGTCACAATTTTCTTCTGATTTTGATGAAACTTGAAAAGTAAGTTTATAACCCAAAGACCTTGGTTCCTTTCGATATTCGCCCATATCGGATAGTAACTTTCTGAATTATGACCCCTGATTGTACGAAAAATCGCGTTTTAGCTTGAGGTCCCTCTAGACGTCACAATTATTACTCGATTTAAAAAAAAACCGTTCAAATATATCACTGTTACACCGTAATTAGTGTAAACATCTGGTATATCAAAGTTGTGGACCATCTAGAGGTCAGAATTTTGACCTGATTTTGATGAAACTTGAAAAGCATGTTTATAACCCAAAGATCTTGGTTCCTTTCGATATTTGGGCATATCGGATAGTAACTTCCTGAATTATGGTCCCCGATTGTATGAAAAATCATGTTTTTAGCTTGTTGTCCCTCTAGTGGTCACAATTATTATCCGATTTAAAAAACGTTCGAATACATCACTGTTACACGGTAATGTTTATTGAGTTCGAATTTTGTGAAAGTCGGGCCAAAACTGCCGGACAAACTGGCCGCCCTTCGTACGCAAAAAGTGAATAGCATCTTATATATCAAGCTTGTCGACACTCTAGAGGTCACATTTTTATCCGATTTTGATGGGAGTTGTAATATATGTTTATAACCCAAAGATCTTAATCCCTTTCGATATTCGCGCATATCGGATCGTAACTTCCTGAATTATGACCCTTGAATGTACAAAAAATCACGTTTTTAGCTTGTCGTCCATGTAGAGGTTGCAATTTTTAACCGATTTTAAAACAAAAACGTGAATATATCATCATTACACACTAAGATCTTGGTTCCTTTTGATAATCGCATGTATCCGAACGTAATTTCCTGGATTATGGGTCTGATTGTTCGAAAAATCGCAATTTTAGCTCGCGGACTCTCGAGAGGTCACAATTTTTATTCCGATTTTAAAAACCGTTTAATATTTCACCATAATGAAGATTGAATTAAAATTTCGGGAAAATCGAAATGAAACTGCTCGACAAAATGGCCGCTCATTGTACGCAAATTGTGTAAAAGTATGCAATACGAATGTTGTGGGCCCTCTAAGAGGTCACAATTTTTATCCGATTCTGATGAAACTTAAAACATATCTTTATATCCCAAAGATCTCTGTCCCTTTTGATATTTGCACACTTCGGGCCATAACTTTCTGGATTATTGCCCCTTATTGTACAAAAAATCACGTTTATTTTTTTAGCTTGTTCTCTATCCATCTCTTGCAAAATGTGGGCGTATCCTGCCTGGCAGCCGCAGGTATTGTTTGATATTAAATCTCTATTAACATTTTCACCTACAGTTTGGTCGCAGTTACATTGGCCCGATTTCGATTCTAATGTTCGCTTTTTATACAGTCTAGGTTATTACTCCAGGGTGCATTGAGCTTTCGTTTACACGTAACCTCAAGGTTCCTCGAGCAGCATTTACAGCAAGCAGCTTCATCCTGAATTGTTGGCGCATCAAATACTCACGAGTTGAAAGGCGTCAGTCGGTAAATTCCAAATGCATGTCCTAACTTATTGTGTGAGCCACAGTAGCGAATCAAGAAACTGCGAAGGGTGGCATCCACAATCCCACCCCACAATGAATGTCACCATCGATCGTATTGCCTATATAGCAGTTTTATGCAAGTTGACAACCCGAAGAGGGGGTTGGCAATTGAGGTCATTACTCGAAGCAAATTCCTGTGATCGAGATGAATAGAAATTTGACAGAACTAGTGGTACTACTAACTGGGCGGTTCAATTCTACAATTATAACCGTGAATATGATAGTGATAAGACCACAGTGGGGTGGAAGAATGTTGACATAATGGAATCGAGCGTTGTAGGCGCGAAAAATACATTCAGATAGCGATGTATAATATGTAATTGAGCTTTTAATTTGGGGGGGGGGGGACTATGCCTGAACATTTTAGTCAATTTCCCGCCATTCGAGATTATTGCTGGGAACAAATTCTTGTGAACGCGTGGATTAGAAATGGGACAGAATCTCGCGATCTACCTGTCAATTCTGCCTGTTTTGTGGGAATTGACAGAACTAATTTCATCTAGCGACGCATAATATTTAAAATACTGAAATGTTATTTTTTTTGGTACCGGGTCTGAGAGGAGCTACCCCCCGCTACGCATCTACTTAGGGGCACTTTCTTTGTCTCCAAAGTACTGCAAAAGGTGGCCGACAAAGAAAGATATATGATTACATGTATAGACATGGACATTGCACATTACATAGTACATATACCAAATTTTAATGATTCCGTAAACCCTCTTGATTTTCGAAAAAAAAAATCATAGGAGCTATCAAGCCGATCGAGCGCTTAATGATAAAGGCTATATTCAAACAATCCTGGACCTACTTTGTTCCATAAAATACAAACAGAACGGTTAAATATTGAGTTATTTACTTACAAACAAACAAACATGTGACGTATGTCTTGTTCTTTCAAGTAACATATGCTCTGATTTCACAGTTCGTTGTTTATCAGCTTCAGATAATTAATTAATTGAATGGACACGAATGCAGTGCTGTATTGGTTAAATTTCCCCAAGTTTTCTGGGAATTACTGCTGTCAGGATTTCTTTTCCGAACACACCAATGGACATACCGGTGAGCCATCACAAATTCCAGACAAAAATTTCATGGATATCCGAGGCACCCAGAAATTCCAAGCCATTGACCACTCCCTGTCTTCATCTGCTAATTGAAATCGAAATAATTTGTATTTCGGGGCGTGCATCTTTGAAGCTATTGTTACATAATGGCAAATGTTGTTGATAGTTACCGTTCCATCTTGACACATGAAAACAGAATTGATTAAAATATCTTTATGTCGGCTATCGACATCAATGGTTGTCCAGATTGCACTCATTAGTTATCACCATAATATAAACTTATAGCTGGCACGAGTTACGTAATATCCCGTGTCTTGTAAAGAAATCTGTACTGACCGCTTAAACTGGCAAAGGCCAGACGTGTACTCTTGTGAGCTTCTTTGTCTAGAAGCGGGATATAAGTAAGAATGAAAAAGAGATAGGGGGAGAAGGCCATGGGCGCCTTGGGTTAAGGGTAGAACAAGGGTCATGTAAGTTAGGACTATGGCTCCCTCAACACAAGTTAATTACGGAGTCTTAAGTTTTGTAAATATGTTTGAAGAACAATAAAAGTATCATATGAAGTTAAACCAGAGTTGCCATCCAGCACCGATTCAAAGAACTAAAAGTGTAACACTATTTTAATACTAAATAATGAATGAAATGTAATAAACAGGACGTGGGAGTAGATGTAGTTTCCAATTAACCCCATTGAAGTTAAGGACAAACATAAATCATAAACTCATTTAATAATCACACTACGAGCACCCACAAACAACATAATTTATTTTCACATCTGGTGACAAACAATAGCACATAGTTTCACAGAGAGAGAACAAATTAATATTACATGTAAATGAAAACAATAACATTCGTATTAACTTAGATATGAATCAGTCCACTTATCCATATTTTGTTGGGTTTGTTTTTTCATTCGCGCAAACAGCTATACATGTACGTAAATATTACAACCGTAATTGGTGACAAATTTACATGTAAAGATGGTTGAACATTTAACTAGGAGAATTTAACTGCTTAGTTATTTATCGACCACATCACACATTGCAACAATTAATCCATAAAGACAAAGATGGGAATGGGGTTTAACATCCCCTTAAGTTCATTATCGAACACATCACACATATTGCAATAATTAATCTATAAAGACAGAGAGGAAAATGAGGTTA